ATGCAGATAAAATTAGAGAGGTTAGTGAAGATGGTGAAATTGAAGAGATCTTGAATGAACATTTTGCCTGAAGGTGAATATGTCAATGACTCAACTCTTTACAAAGACAAATTTTTTAAAGACAAGTGTTTCTGATTTTTTCAATTGGGGTACACTATGATGACAGAGAAAAGGTTGGAGTGAGAGAGATGAAAGAGAAATGATTGAGAAGAATGAGAGAAGTGAATAAGGGTTACCATTGCTAAAATCCGATACACATTTATAAGACTGCGTTACCAAACCCATATATATATATATATATATTAAGTTTGGGAAGCAGTCTTATATATTTATTGAACAAGTTGAATTAAAGTGAAATTTAATATGATACGAGGAATTATTATTGATGTTAACAAACAAGTGTCTCGTTCCCCAAAGAATATGCAAGTTAGCCATTAATCACACATATATTAATTGAGTAATTCCGTGGTCAATATTGTTGACCAGACTCCAAAATATTGCCTTTGAGAAGGGAAAATGTGAAAACTTTCTCAACAATGGACAAATCGTATTTATGATTAATAAATAATTCAATGGTCAAAACTGATGACCAGTAAAAATGTAAATGTTTTAAGAATTTTTATATTACATATAAGGTATGCGTGAATTCTATATTTAAAGTATTTTTAATAAATTATAACCAAAATATATGTTTTCATTTATTTTGGTTTAATATATGCTGCATACGTATAAAATGTATATTAATTGAGTTTGAATTATTTCAAAAAAAGTAAAGTTCAAAATATTTTCTAAATTTAGTAAATTTGGAAGGGCTTTGCAATTTCCATTTCCACGCGTATCTCCACGTGTGTCGCGACATACACCATGAACTCTTTGGTTTATAGTATCCGTACGACTATTCGTGATTGTAAAAGTATTTAAACCTTAATATATATATAATAAGACTGGTATAATGTCCTATCCTACTATTTAGGTTTTTGCACTAAAGTAGGCAAATATGCCCTCTTTATTACCAAAATAGACAAAAAGTGAAGTCGTGGGGACCAAAACGACTTCAAAGGAAGAAATCGTGCTCCTCCTGCACGACTTCACACCGTGCATAGCTACAGTGTTGAAGTCGTGCACCCCAAAAACGACTTTAGAGTATGGTAATCGATTACCACATGTGTAATCGATTACCATACCGTTTTTAATAAAAAAATATAAAAAAAATTGAAATCGTAGGGGGGGTTCACGACTTCAATAAGAGAAGTCGTGCACCCCCAACACAACTTTACTTTTTTTTTTTAATTTTTAACTTTTATTAATTAAAATCATTTATAATTTCTAAAAAATATTTTTAAATTTATTTAAAATAATTAAAATTATATCTAATTAATAATTAAAGTTTTTTTAATATTATTAAATAAATAAATTTTATACTTTTAATTATTTTTGTAATTAAATTAAATTTTTTATAAAAGAATTTCAATTAAATAATTTATAACTATAATTATTATAATTATCTAATTAAAAATTCAAAAAAAGTTATATTTCATTATAATTTATTTTTTTTAATTTTAATTATTATAGTATATTTTTTAAAAATTATAATTAATTAATAATAATTTTTTTCATTATAATTATTTAAATCATTATAATTAAAATAATTTTAAAAAATGTGATTAATTTTAAAAAATAATTAGTATAATTTAATTTTAATTATTATAGTATAAATTATTTAATTAAAATAATTTTAAAAAATGTGATTAATTTAATAACAAAAATAAGTTTATTTATTTAATAATATTTAGAAACTTTAAATATTAATTATGTATAATTTTTAATATTTTAAATACATTTAAATATATAATTTAAAAATTATAAATCATTTTAAATAAAAAA